CCGGCATAGCTCTTAGGTTCATTAGAGTACTCAAACCTCCTCACCCGGCAAATGCCTTCGTTAAGGTGGAGATACCATCAAGGAGGTAAAATTTTTATTACAATTATTTTATTGGAATGCAAATTTTTTTTGTTTCATAAGATAAAGAAAATACACTATATATATAATATATAATATACAATATATTATGTACAATTTACAATAACAATATAGAATTATAGAATATATAACATAAAATTTGTAAAATACAATATAACTTTACATAATAGAATTAATTATATTACAAATATATATTACAAAAAATATAGAGTGTACAAAGTTTAATATAATTTAAAATGTATTACAAAAGAATTTATTATACAGAATTACACGAAAATATCCGAAATATTCATATAATGCAGAATTCACTAGAAATTTTTAGATCAGATATAGCTGATAAGCAATGATTAATAAGATATTTATGATTAATAATCGATCAACATACAATTATAAAATTTATTAAGTTTTATATAATGCAAATAATTATGACTAAAAAAGTCGTTAACAAAGTTATCGATCGTTTTTCAATTGTAGAAAAAAGTACTTGGTCTACTAGCGCATTTTGTGTAGACTTTCAAAAAAAATATCCGAGAAAAGATAGATGAAACTTTGATGTAAATCAACGATTAAATTACAAGATAAACCGCAATTTAAAATTCACGAAAAAAACGCGACGAATAAATAAATCGGCGATAGCCGTAATACTCGATTCCAATGTATGTATATGTAATTTTTTAAACAATTAGATGACCGACATAATTACTATATAATTATATAAAAATGTTTCGACGGACATTTGGAGCGCTTTTTATAATCGCGTTTGTAATATAGGACATTTGTGAATATAGAATCTAATGCCCGATTTATTTTCAAAGGCGTGATTTTATGCAAATTTCGCGATTGAGAATAAGAATATATGTACCGTTTCGCGGAGAATTGGCTAAACGGAATAAAATCTTATAAATCTTGAGATACCGTTATAAAAACATTGCGTTATCGCCGCGTTCAATGGAGGATAACTGGCCCAACGATTTGACAAGATCAAGATCCCTCCGCCAGATAACACGCCGGTTAATATTCGACAAAGACAAGAACAATCTTAAAGGTGGAGAACGATCAACTTCTTGCTTCTATATCGGACCCCGTAAGATCAATCCGCAAAGAAAAGTGAAGTGATCCATTGAATATTAGGAGCCCCGCTGTAGGAGGGAACGAATCCCGGATCTTCCGGACTACTCCCGATAGCAATGATTTCGGTAACAAATCAACGACAGTTACCATTGTCATTATCTTTAATTCGCGAGATTGAAATTCGCGCGAAAAAATGTGTTCTTCCATTATTAAAAAATATATCTCTTTATTGAAAATTAAATGGATATAACAATTTTTATGAAAATGTGGTTACGAACGACTATATTTATAATAAAATACATGCATCGCATTATTGTAGCTAGCGTTAAATGTGCGAATACAAATAATTCTCGGGTACCAACTGTTCGAGACAAATCGAACCCGATAAAAGCAAAATTAAAAAAAAATTAATTTGAATATTTTGTAATACACATAAAATAAATCAAAATAATATCAAGCATAATTATAATAATCCTAAGCTATAAGCACCTAGAAATATCTTCTCAAAAAAAGATTATATTAAAATTAATTAATAAAATATATTCGTTTGTAACTGTAACTAAAAATTATAGATTTTTTGTATCAAAAAAGTCAATAGAAACAGGCAAATTGATTGCAATTTGAAATTGCTTGAAAAATATAAATTTATCTATATACATTAGCTATATCCATGTTCAATCGGAATTAAATGACTATCTTAAGTTAAGATAGTCCTAATAGATAATTCTAACAACCCTACTTTTGCTGGCTAAGCCAGCGGGAATCCAGGATCACGGAAATTTCGGGGAACGTGTCCTACACGCGTACCATACTCGCGTGACCTACTCGCGTGCCCTATTCGCGTGCCCTATTCACGTGTCCTAATAGAACGTATCGGTAGCATTCTTGATTACGTGCCATTGCACGTAGAAATGCGCAAACACATGTATTGTCCAACATGTGTATTTTTGCTCCTTTTGACCACGATATTGGTCAACTATGTTGCTTCCGTTGGGCCAGTTGGACCTACCTTTCGTTGATCCTGGCCATATTCATTCTGGCTACATCTAGCCAAAGATGTAGCTTCGACCTCTATCAGAGGGCGATGAAGGAGAAAAATTCCTTCCGTTGCCGGCTAATTATTATCGCCGGTGTATGAGCGTAACTTTACGCTCGTTTACGGTCGTGACACATTACGACCGTTTGTCATGCAACATTTTAATATAACTTTTTATTAATATAATGCCAAATTATCAATCAAAATTAATTGTTTGAAATTCTTATAATAATATAATATTATTTATAATAATATATAATTTATATTAAAATAAACTTAATAAAACATTTATATTTTA